ATATTGATATACCCTTGGAAGTTAATAATAAAGAACTTATCGAAATTGAAAGATATCAACAATGACTTGACTGTTGATTAAAATTTGGTTACAATTTTCTCATTATAAAAATAAAAATTGAAATAAATCAATCAAACAATTAGAAGTTTCGAGAATATACATTTTATGAACTTAATATTTTTAACGTTGAAAATAACCATTAGTTGCGAGCATCCTCCTTTTTCTAGCATCCCCATATTTCCTCCTATTGTATATATAAAAAATTAATTATAACCCTTCGAGGACTGAAAATTTTTTTATTTTTTTCTTTTTTTTCAGAAAAAAATTTCAAAAAATGATTTCACTTTTCCAAAAAAATGAAAATAATGGCGACTTTTCATGAACAATTTAGAACGATTTTTGACTTATTTGATAAAATAGTTCAACTTAAATTCAAACCTTTGAATTATTTCTAAAACATTTCATCATTCATAAACTCAATTTAATTGGTTTATGTTAAAGATTTGTCCTTCAATCAATAAAATATACAATCTGACAAATTAATGTAAGTAATAAAAATAATACGAAAATAAATTGTTTTTATAAACAAATAAAATTGTAAATGAAAATTGATTAAATAATATTATCAGATATTCAAGTTTTTCGAAAAACAAAATAAAAAACACTTAAAACAAGTGCAACAATTTGGGTTCTATATAACCAATATGATTGGTTCAAACCAAAATAAAATAAGAAGATGACAAAAATATTGTTCTTGAAATAAAAAATGAATTCCACTTAAACTAAAAATACTTAGAGAACCAAATAACAACAAAATATTACGATAAAAACCCACTGCTTACTATTAATTTTATGTGTTATTAAACTAACACAACATTAACATTAAATAATAATCTTTTATGGTAAAACAACGCTATAAAACATCAATTTAAGTCAAGAAAAATAGCAGTTTTGGATACATTATACAATGCGTGACAAAAGAATAATAAATTCCATAGTAATTTAAATTATAAATAAACTATAATTAATCAATTTGTGAATAATAAAAATGATAGTAAATTATTATATATTTTATGATTTATTTTAACAATAATAATTTAAAGTAAACCAAATAAACACCTGCACAAATATAATTATATTAAGCCAAGCATAAACAGCTTTGATTTTGCCATTTCATTTCTCATCTGCAACTTTCTCCTTCTCATGTCTGTCGTTAATGCCTGGGTACATTAAATTCAATCATAGGAGACGATGCTTAATATAACTTGTTTCTGATATCGACATTGCACCTTGTGATTGAGTTTTAAGTTGTCTCGTGGATACCTGATGCTTCCATGCCAATAAATGATGGCTAGTGGTGTGCTTCTGGACATCTGAATCTCTCGTTTCCAATAGTGATGACTTGACTGTTTGATAGTTAATGTGATTTCTTAAATTCTGATGATGGGGAAGCCTTCTGCATTTCTCTGTTGATGTCAAGAGCACGTAGTAAACACTAATCTGTGTTTGTAGTTCACAAAATAATTAGTTTATGTATTTTATTTTTATTTATAAACATGGAAAACAAGTCTTTTGTTTTTAATTTATTACTATGAATGGAACACAATTACGTGTACTTTCAGGAAATAACGATAAAAACACAAGAAAAAAATAAGATAATTTGCAACAATTTGTCTTGGATTATAATGTTGGTTTGTAGATTTTTTATTTGAACTTTAAATTCGATTGTAATCAATCTCTAATTATTCTATTCTTTTTAAATTCTTCTTGTTTTTTTTGTCAAGTATGTTTTTGTTTTTCGATAATTATTTTTATTTTTATATACAACAACATTATATTACCATTTATTTAAATAAATATATTATTTAAATAATTATTGTTAGTAGAAGAAAATATAATCGATACTAAACACAATCAGTTTAAAAAACCAATTTTCTTAAAACTTTTATCAATTGTGTTGTTGTATTTATAGAAAATATTATAATCGTTTACTAATAAGTTTCTATTATAATATTTATATTAAAGTAGTTGTGTATATATTAAAAATACGACAAAAAAGTTGTTTTGTTTATTTTGTTTTAATTTTGAAATTTGAATCATATTTATTTTTTGATAGATTTCAAAAAGTAGCAATAGTATATTTTTACAATAATGTATTACTTATTGTATATTATTGTATATTAATTTGGATTCAAGACAACAAAATATATATAAATTCATCAAACATTTGAAAATAATTCAACTCAATGAAACATAAAAACAAGCTAATAATTCAATTTAAAATTAGTTTGACTAATAAATATTATCAATAATAACAATGAAAATTAGTTATAATTTGTATTATTTTAAAATAAATATAATCTAAAGTATAAATTAAATTTTTAATGATTTTTTTAATTAATTTAAATTATTTTTATATAATAC